ATTAATATGTTCCTGTGATAGACACTTGTATCTACATTAATATGTTCCTGTGATAGACACTTGTATCAACATCAATATGTTCCTGTGATAACACTAATATCAACATTAATATGTTACTATGATAGACACTTATATCAACATCAATATGTTCCTGTGATAGACACTTGTATCAACATCAATATGTTCCTGTGATAGACACTAATATCAACATTAATATGTTACTGTGATAGACACTAATATCAACATTAATATGTTCCTGTGATAGACACTTGTATCTACATTATTATGTTTCTGTGATAGACACTAATATCAACAATAATATGTTCCTGTGATAGACACTAATATCAACATTAATATGTTACTGTGATAGACACTTGTATCTACATTAATATGTTCCTTTGATAGACACTAATATCAACATTAATATGTTCCTGTGATAGACACTAATATCAACAATAATATGTTCCTGTGATAGACACTTATGACAACAATAATATGTTACTCTTCTCAACACTCAACACTTACTGTTATCAGTAACAATATCAACGCTAAAATCTTATTGTTATAAATTGCAGTAAGATGCAACTAAGATATTACTTTTATTTTTATCAATATTTAGATGTCCCTGTTATAAACTTCAATATTAACAATAAGATATCTTCATTTGAATTGACATTAAGACATTACTGTTAAGGACATCAATATAAACATTTAAGAATTCATATGTTAATATTAAGGTAAACCTGTTCAAAACACCAGATTACCCTAGATACATTTATATATCAATACCTATAACAAAAAAGTATCACATAATTACAGTACGTTCTTAACACTACCGTAATAGAATCTTATGAACATGGTACTGACAGATATACAAACACGCAGCTACTTAACAGTACCTAAAGATGAACACAAGAGAAGCATCTAACTGGAGATACATCCGGATATCCATCAAGAACAAGAATATATGCCAGAACCATTGTAACAAATGTCTAATCAATTCACTGTCCTTAACAATTCACCTATATACATTTCAAACAGCACAACAAATACATCTTATTTTTTATGGTTACTATTATTCAGTTACAATAATAATTAGTACAAAAATGTAAGTTTTTTTTATACGCATTGCATGATATTTTCATTCACAAAATTATGTTTATCTGTCTACATTTGTAAGTTTTACACACGATATAATAAAAGGAACTTATTTATCTGTGTTAGAATTTAATGTCTGCATTCTCGTTTCAACATTATTTTGGAACGATATATCAATGCATTTAAAAGTATTGAATGTTCTTCTAGAAGTTGACTGATCATATTCAGATACCAGCGAAATCTTCAAATATCAACTGTTTTATCATTTATAAGAGTATTATGAATAACAATATATCAATTTTAGTTAAATATTATATCAGTAAATCGAATATTCATATTTTACCAAACAAATATCAGGAAAGAAGCACCCTTATATAGTATAGATGTTTTATTTATTTTTATATCTATTTGATAAGTCAGTTCATTATTTTCAAAACACCATGATCTAAAACGCAACTGCATAATGAAAATTAATATATTTTATTTACATAATCTTGAGTTATTTTTTCAGTGAATGTGTCCACGTCCAATGGATAAAAAGCCAAGAACTGCATAGCTGTTATTTACAAAATAAGACCAGATTATAGGTGTGGGTGAAAGTTGGAAGAAGATATTTACAAACCACATAGTGATATTTGTAAACAAATGTGAATGGAAAGGGGAACTTATCTGATAAAACAATTACACTTTTAAGACTACGTAATTCCTGACTTATAAAGAAGAATTGATCATACATGTTTATAATGGCTTAACGCAGAAACATTGATAAGAAACGACTGCGTCTTTGCTTGAAATGTTTGAATTTGAAATTGTGAATTTTTGATAGTCATCACAATGTATATATATATGTTCATTCTAAGATAAGTTGACAAAGAATCAAATGCATTTTGAGTGTTGAAAATCGTTTTTTCGAACATTTGTGTAAATAGTTTTTTTTAGGAATTGTGAAGTCAGTTGGAATTGCCAAATACAAAGACATAAACAAACTTCTATTGCTTGGAAAGGTAATTTGAGCAGGTGAGATGTTCTAGTGTTATTTTACTATTGCTAAGCCAGGGCCTGACCTCCTTTTAACACGTTGAGAACATTACTGTAGTGTGTAAGTGGGTTCCTTGACCCGTGCTACACCCCTCAGCATGGCCGTTCAACTTCCGGTGTGGCCAGGCCAGGTCAACTAGAGCGAAATTCTTCATAATAAGTCGAACAGGAGATTCTCACACATGTGCAAACAACGGAGAGAACCATTCGACGTATTGTACGGGGGCTTTAAAAAGGGTAATGGACTTTAGAGAAACACAGTATATTTCAATATAAATGTGTTTCAGCATAGTTAATGTTTCTGATTAATGGTTGAGCGGCAACTCGGAGAGTCAGTAAACAACACGATTTGTTTATCTTTATTCCTTGACAGAAGTATCGTTTGTGTAAATAAACAAAATTATAATTCATATGTAGCAAGCAACACTAATCTTCAATATAATAGATGATAAAGCTATATATCCATAAAGCTGTTATGAAAATAAATTAATCTTCCTTGAATCAGTTGAATATGTTGGATATGTATAAATAGATATTCAGTGTAAATCATTCTTTTGTTTGACCTGGTATCTTTGGATTTTAACTTTAAATAAAATTCTGTTGACATGTTGTAATTTTCTGTTGTTGTTGTTGTTATATTTAACATTTTTATGTATATATACCTTAATTTTGATTTTGAATTGGAGAATCTTGATAAACATGACAACTTCTTACCTCACCACTCTTATAATATATACATATTAGCAAAAGAGATTCATTATATTAGTAAGCCTTCTTTACTTTTAAATATAATTTATAATATTACTGATTAAAAACTTCTTCTAATAGTCATTGAATACATCTTGAAACACATTGGATCTTAAACTGATCTTTAGAAAAATAAATCCCACATGTAAAAGTATCAAACCAAGTAAGAAATATCCAACAGTTTGCAAAATAAAAAAAATCATTGCATGATGAAGTCTGAAATCTGTTGTAGGGTATGTTCAATCATTATTATATAAATGGTATTTGATAATATGATCTAAGAAAAGTTTAGATTAGCAAATCAAGAACATATTTCATTGTAAAACATCTGGAAAATCATTTTAAAATATGACCAAAAGTATTTCACTTATGTATATACGCATATAAAACAATCACTTTTCGAAGTTTTTAAGTTAGAAGAATTAATATTTTAGTTATTCATTTTTGAAAATCCTTTTTTAAAACTAAGAATTTTCCATTCTATCATATTAACCTCTCATCCACGAATTCATAAAACTCCATAGAGATGCAAAGAGATATGAAACATTGATATGTTATTTCTCGGTTGATTCCCTGTAACTTTCATAACCGCTTTTATTGTAAAATAAATTATAACAGTCCTCACTAAGCTATCTTTCGTCCAAAATCTCTGAAGTACAGACGAGAAAAAAAGTATTCTATGTCAAATACGAGGATAATTTTAGTACAATAAAAGTATTATTTTGGATGACTTGTGCTGCGATAGTGGTCATTGAAGGCCAAAACAGGTCTATGTATATGTTAGTACACAGGGGGCTTGGGGCCTGTGCTGGTAGAGGGGCTTATTCAGGACACACAAGTATAACAGAGAGGGTTTGGAAGGAATAGCCTGTGCTAGTTAGGGGACCTATTTAGGGTAGTGAATGGGAGGGATATCTTTATGGCACAAACACACACATAAACATCCTGAAGCTATTTATAAAGCCGGCAACAGGGTCGTTGGACTTCCACTTTTTTACATAAAATATATGGGTTCTATGTGTATAGAAGTTGAAACGGAATACAAACATACCGGGGTATTGAACTTTTGTTTGAATACAAGTTACATTTAGTTGTATGTGAGAATAATGTGTTATATTGGCTTAATTTCTGGGTAAAAGTATCAGGCAATACTATGTATATTTAGTATCACAGAATAAACAGACAATGTAGACAGAACAGTAAATCATATACATATTTTTTATGTTCAGTATACTTTGGATTGCAGAAATGTAAAAAGTTAGAACTTTGTTTTAAAAATTTGATATATGACTGACACATTACGACTCGAAATTTAGATAATGATATATTAAATAATCACACTTATCATGGTTAATACATCTGCGGAAAATGACAATAACAGTATAGATTTGAGGATGTACATGTACTGTTATATAAGTATTCTTTGTCAAAACAAAGTACCTGTTGTTGTAATTGATAATTCGGTAACAAGAATATTGATTACATATTAAAATGGAATTGATTAATATATGAAATAAATGATGAGAAAAAGTTTTGTTTTGTTCATAAATTAGTAATTGGAAATTATCCCTACAGAATATGAGGAGCTAGGAGCCTGTAGTATATATGTTATCCATATATTGATAAGTATATTTTATCTGTATTAGGATGTAAAAAGAATGAAATGTAAACAAAAGATATGAAATTCATTACTAACAAAGAAAAAGATGTTTTATATGTATCTAATAGTGCAAAGTTAACAAACGAGCATTACATTGTATAAATAAGATTGATTAAGTCCTTCATATTCAACATGTATAAATTTTGTGAGCATCATATATTTAGTTAAGTAATGAACATTTATAGTTCAGAGGTTATTTTCGCGGAATGTAGTGTGCATTTGAGTATATTGTCATTTACATTCTAAATACCTACATATAATAAGAGGTACATTTCTTGCTGTCATTTATTTCTTTCTCCTATACCGTATGAAAATGTCAGCATAAACTACTGTTTTGAATAACCAATACTATGTTTATATGTAATAATATATTATTTAAATAATAATTTGTTGCAGGTATGTATACACAAGATACATAGAGACAACATGAAAGAGAAGGGAGCGCATCTTGACTTACCTGGTGAACAAAAACATCCTGGCTACCATCATCAGGTGTTACAAACCCCCATCCTTTTGCAACATTGAACCATTTACATTTGCCCCTTCTGCGACCTCCTCCTAAAACAAAAAATGTATGATAAATAACTGGTATGCTACTTATTCCTTACAAATCTTCATTCTAGTTGTCAGCAGTCAACATTTGATACAAAAGTAGTCAAAATAGCATTTAAATCACATACATTGTTTCATAAAGGTAACATTGTTGATTCTATGTGTGTTGCCCCTTTCTCTTTCAAACTTACCCCCACTCCGAGCGGCCATGTTGTTTCAAGTGACCGTTCCAGTTTATAATGACTACTGCTAAACCAAGGTTTCTGGACGGAAGGCTGGGTATTCTAAGAGTGGGTTTTCATACAAAATGACGTGTTGTTACGTTAGTTCTAAATTTGGACATATGTCACACTCTCCATAATCTGATGTATAATGCCAAATTTATATAGAATGACCTTAAGTAATAACATGCTGTTAAATGTTTTGTATGTATAAATATATTTTCATATGTTCAATTGGCAAACCCACGATTAGGCGATACCAAAAGGTCATATCCAAATATTTTTACGTTTTACATCTGGAGTATCACTACAGATTTTAGTGTATGTAGGTATATTTACATTTCAAAATATGATACCTCTGTTCGACATATATGCAAATACGGGTGGCACATTTCGGTAAAGGCAACAATCCATAGATTCCTTGTGAGCTCATCCTCGACAATAGGACACCACTAGCCGATAAACGTTGTTGTCCTTTCCGTAACACATGTTAATCTATTAAAATATATCACTTATGATGTACATACGATTGAAGTAACATTGACCGATGCTAATGGTCAGTGCTTCCTATAGTGGCCATTTTTTGCTGATACCCACATTTTTTACACATCAATATAATGTTATTGCTAACGGTTGTGTAATATAACTTCTACGCAGTTTACATGAAAATAAATCGATGCAGGTGCAGCGGCGCTCTACTAAACGTACATACTGATGTGGTAACTCTTCTAACCATGGAGTCAAAAAGTTGAAATCAGCTGTTTGGCTCAACAATAATGGCGATGCGAGGATTATTCTGCCGACAAGACGACTCTGAGACAAGGGGGAACGGATTCGAGGACCAAAGGGCCAATTTTATGTGATAGTAAGCATACGTATTATACAAGCAAAGAATATGTAAAACGGAATTCACCTCCATAGTCTTCCATCGCCCTGCCGTCATCGGCAGCTTGGTCTGTCGGGGCCAGAGGCTTGTACAGTGATTATATATATGTACATTTTATCCAGTGGTTTTTACTCCTCGAGTCTTGACGAAATGAATAGTGTCGTTGATTTTAGACGACCTGCATACCTGCAGTCGTTTAGTTAAAATTTTGTACTATATACCACACTTAAATTGTCGATGAGACCACTTCATTTCAATATCCCAAACATCATTACGTCTGCCAGTGTCTTTTCACCTTTTAGTCCACGGATTTGTGTCCATTATACTGCCCCTGAGGCTAGCTAGCGGTCAATTATCGAGATGACCATTCTCTTACTAGGTCATCTATGTATCACTGACCAACACATATTCATGCTAAGACCATAAGCGCCGGAGCTGCTTGCCTACACTGCGAGAGACTCTGTGTTGTGTGTATGATATGCGTACATTCAACAGGTCACAGGCGCTTGCGTTTTACTGAAATCCTCCGTCCTTTGTGATACCGACGTCCCAGGTATGCTTGATCCGTGTTGTTCTATAAGGTCCAGAAATGCTTGACCTCACGAACTGGTCAAGGGTCACTTCTCTGCAGTAGTCAAGTCGAAGGTAAATAGTACATCTTCTTCCCGTTACTATGGTAGCGAGCTGCCGAGCATTCTCACTGCTTTCCAGGTCAAGCTGACGATATATTCAAGCGTGCATTGGAAATATACAAAAAATCGCGATTTCAGCCGTTTCGGTTCACTGAGTTCTACAATCTTATTGTTGTCGTTGCGCTTGTATATGCCCGAAAAGCGTACACAAATCATGTAGCATCACAATCTAACATTATGTGGTCAATATTGAAACGACACCATGACCTCCTCCTATATGAGCCTTTAGCTATGACTATCCTATCTGCAACTGTATTCTCAGTTTGTTACTTATACAACATCCGGTGTGACCGAGAAATAAGGTCAACACGTAGAAAATTCCTGACATTATTAGAATATTTAAATAGACTATTTTAGATTATATCAGTTAGTTATAACTACCAACAATAACGAACACACATAAATATGTAAATAATAACTACACAATTTCTTATGGTTTAACATTTGTAATATATATCATATGAACAACTGAAACTATAATATATATAGTGTGTCTTTCATTTACGATAATTATCAGTTGGATGAATTTATATAAATAATATGGTATGCTTAACTATTATTTTTCATATGTATCAAACATTCCACAATCAATATTTTATTAAGAGGATTCAAACATGTACCGGTCATATTCCCGTTGATATTGGGAAAGGATATATCTCCCGTGTCGTTCTTAGATGTAGAGGTCAAAAGGCGGTACTAAAAGGTCAACGTAATTTCATTCATATTGCCTCCCCACTCTCAAACCCCAAATAGTACCAACAATTCATATTTATGTGAAAAGTTGTTTCAAAAACGGAATTGAAATAAAATTCCTCTCGAAAAATATTTTCAAAATGTTCTTTTAGATGTAATTTTCAATATTTTTCTTTGTAGATTCCATCATTTATCAGCCGGTTTAAAGAATGCATCATTCGCCCGCCCACTGAATTATGGTTAAAACCCAATCGGTAAATATTCATGAGTAATATTGTAGCCAATGGTTTAACCAGGGGCGTCATCAATCTAAACAGCTGTGGAGCGAAGAATTTTACAATCTCATAAATATTCATAACACACGTGGCATGATGCAATACCACCTAATGCCATTTACATTAACCGTCTGTGTTTTATTTTTCTAATGATCTGTTTCTCGAACAAACTTAATATGACGTCATTCCTTTGTGAATACAAAGTGTATGTTAAACATTGATATATCTCCCCGGTTATAAAAAAAGATAAACGTTCTTTTTTAATACTTTTACAAATTATTTTATTATTAACCTACCAGCCATTGATATTCACCAATATATATTCTGTTTCGAAGCACATCAATGAATATCAAGTAAATTACATCTTCTAGTCAAAATCAAATCAGTTTAATTAAGCTTTTCTTATAGAGAGTACCTGCTATATAAAAAAATTCAGAAATAATAATAATAATAAAAAAAGAGTATAAATATTTCTTTGTAAGTTTTTGTTTGATTATAAACACACAGTGTATGTGGTATAGAACCCTATATACTAAGTTTGGGTAGCAACGTGATAATGAGGTCACCAATCCCTTCGTTGAAACAGCAAAAATTAATTTAATATTGTGATCTCTCTTCGTGATATTTTCCGCTCACACTTCATAACAAAATTTAATGTTGCCTGCCTCTTTTTTCCTAAAGTCTTCCAGAAACAACTCGTGCAAAAATAATATCTGAAAACTCGGATTCAAAATGATCATAACACCTTCAGGTATTTTGAAATATATTGTGTACATTCAGAAAACTATGTATATACGAATATATAACATGTTACATTTCTATCTAATGGGTGTCGATATTCTGTTACAAATTAACAATAAATATTTAAAAATAAAAAATAAAATAAAATACTAAAATCAGAATATAGAACACTTACAAAAGATTGAAGCACAAGGGGAAGAAAATCACAATCATTCGCCGGTGTAAAATATAGAATTGAAAAGCGTTAATCCAACAATATAGCAATGCCAATATAACAGTTAAGATATAACATAAGGATCATATCGTATTTCTTATTTTAAAGTCACTTTATTGGCAGAATAACAAAAATGAACGACTAGATAGGTAATATGAATTTTCATAAAATCAATTGCTACAGAACAAAGTAGGATTCAGATAGGTAAACTATATTCTAAATGGGTTAAATAAATCTTAAGTCTATTTGATAACAAGATTTAAGCCTGATACCATTAATGGTTTAAATCAGTTTTGATCATATCTGGTTATAAAATTACATTTTCTTTTTTGTTTTTGTAGTTATGTGGATTTAATCTCTATGACTGATTTGAAGAAAAAATATACTGTTTAATGTTTCTATCGCCTGTTTACTATCATCAACACGACCACATTTAAAAAAGTATACACTTTGCGACAGCATAAATATTTTAGAAAAATGATTTATGAAAACAAGAAATCACCAGATGTATAATATACACCACAACGGTAAGGACAGGCTACGTCATAATTCCAAGTATCTTTAGAACGAGAACCTGAACTGTCAGCAAAGGTAAAATACAAATACAAGGACTTTTCTCTTCATCAATCTCAGTTCGATAAGAAAAGGATACCAAGTAACAATCAGTAAGCTCTATAAGCGCTCAAATTTATGATCTTTTTACATGTTGAAGTTTTCTCAGTATTCTAGAGCTTGTTCTCAATATCACGATTTTTATGGAAGATGTCGGGAACTGGCAGACACTCTCATAATAAAGGGTTTCGAGAGATGAACATTGATGAAGTTTATACTATAGTTTTAAGGTCGTTATAACAATCACATTGAGAAAGTCCTATGTCTTTGTCATTTATGACGTTGGTCGCGTTTGATGCTCGTTTGTAGTGGTTCTGTTGTTGTTTACCTTGTTTTCTTTTAGGAATGTGAAATTGCTGACTTTGATTGACCAAGATTTGCATGTCCAGTGTCGTCTTTAAAGCAACAGGGGCTTGCCGTTCCGAAACTCATTGTCTCTTTCTCCTTACACTTTTTCATGAGTCTCTATGCATAAATTTTTACATTTTAGTCGAATTTGTGTTTGAATGAAGATTTTATGAACACGTCGGTATCAAATATGACGAGTTTGAAAATGTATGAAAAGTTGTAGAATGTACAGAAAGCCTATATGTAATGTATCACTCTTGGTATTGTTTCAGACAAACAAGAACTATGAATATTGCAAAAACACGATGGAAGCCATCAAGAAGATATGATGTGACAACAAATTAATAGGACCAGAAAGAGATCAAAACAAAATTTGAAAGACAAAAGGTTTGAAGAGACACCACAGGGAAAGGAAAAAGTAGACCAAAAGCATCAGGAACAAACAGTCCAGTAGAGAGGCTATAAGAAAGACGATGACAACAAAACGAAATGGAAGTAAACAAAAAACGTGTTGGGGAGACAAAACAATTGTAGTAAGAAAGAATTGTGAAGACATCAAATCAAAGATAAAATCAGAAATTCAATTATTAGATTTTTTTCCTGGTGTTTCCCATTGATCATTTACTACATTAATGAGTTTAACTAAGGATGTCTATAATAATACATGACCACTTCTAGTCCTGTCCCTCAATCGCAGAGCACTTCATTGTGTATGAGTAGAATTTCATTCTATTCTGATTACAACTACATTTCGTTAAAATCTGATATTACAACCATATTCCGTTAAAATATGACAAACAGTTTCGGCTTGCACTTCAGGAAAACAGATTTCCAGAACATTCCATTCCGATTTTTCTCCTGTTTTATGTTTTGGGTTTTTGTTTTCGTCTTTCTTCTCCGTTTGTGCCTTTGATCCTGTTTACAAATTAGATAGAGATTAAGACCAGTGATTCAGGGCCGGTACGAGTCTTTTGCTTCATCAAGACACCCGCCGTGTACGTCTTTATCTGATAGTGTAAGTAATACCATGTTATTAAATGAAAACCTGGTTGATAAGAAAGGAATCACAAGGCATTTTACTTCGAACAAATCTAACACAATATGCAAATACGACGAAAAAAAAGTACCCGTCTGATGCTTTTTCTGTATAACATATTTGTTATTACCAAAATTAAACATGAAATAAGTTCGTCTCAGAGAGATAAGACTTAACACATTCTAAATGCTGTGAATTATCAAGACTGGGGACAATAAACTTATTCATAAGAATTTAGACAACCATATCCGAAGACTAAAAGACATCCATTATTCCTTAGAGAATGATAACTAAACTAAAAAAGAAAGCATACCCATTTACTGAAAGATTCATTGTAATTTAGATCCTAACTACCAAAGACAAGACATTTTCGTGACGTTTCATATCATAATGACTAAACATATATCACTATGCTGAACACCACTATGGCTCAAATAGGGATTAAATGGCCATTATCCAAAAGACAAAAGTTGTCAACAACTTTAAATACTAAATAAACCCTTGATTAACAAAACTTTCCAGTTTACATATATCTGATAAGGGGGACGTCAAGTACGTGGTTATATTCGGAAATGTGACACTATTCGCATACATTAAAACGTCGATAAAACAAGTATATTGAGATTATTGAAAATTGCTCTGATTTTGAGACAATATATTAACACAAACAAATTTATTATAATAAAATGTTGGCCTGGTCTCTCTGTGTTCTGGTAAGCTTTCATAGGAATTCCTTCTTCACATCTAGCTAATAATGTTTCTGTAGTAGCTGTTTTCATGCATAATAGAACTAGTTCCAATTCTCAGTTTTTTTCTGTGTGAAATAATCCACGTTTTCTCTCCTAATACTTTACACGAGATTCCACCCTTGCCAGAAAAAACCTGTAAAATGCTGCATCATGAAAGGAGGAATTACGGAAAAGTATCTGTCAACACCAGAAGTCCTCGTTAGCTATGAGTAATTAGGTACACTTAAGTCTAAACTAAACGTAAACTACCCTATCAGTATTTCCCCAATTGTCTGTCATAATTGGCAGGGCCAAGGCCATTTGCCGAACTTAACACAGTGCTCACCTTTCCATTTGTTACACGAGGTACTTATTTTACGACGTTTCGAATAGATTAGCTAAATAGTATCAAGACTACGCTAAAATGGTGAGGTCTTATGGAACATGGATAAACTTGAGGATAAATTTAGTTTATCCAAGACTACCATGACTCAGAAAATTACGGGCGCTTTTTATGAGAGGTTCAAAACAGGAAATTGACATTAGCAAATATTTGAATCAAGATTCATGTTTCACATAATTTCTAAAAAACGTTTTAGTAACCTAAATTTAAATTTAACTATGTTAAGAGAACATCATACTCAAAATAAGACGAGCTGCTCCAAGACCATTGACAAACTATATACTAAGAAATATCCGCCGTTGGCTCCTTCAAGAAAATACCAACATGGCAATAAAATCATACTCCAAACTCAAAGTCCGTAAAACTAGGGCAAAATATAAACAAGAAAGATTTAGATGGAAATCCTGCAAACAAAAGAGAATAAGATCAGGTGTTCCGGAAGAGTAAGCGTAAAGCTAAACTACGTCGAAAGTGTCCTTGTATATAGTAACAAGTTCTGAATTCAACTTAATACCGCACCGCAAAAATTCAAACTTTCTAATACAGACATCTCAATAGAATCTGAAATCTTACTCAAAAGCGATAAAGCAAAGAAAAATGTGAACAAAAACATTAAAAACGAAGACAAAGTTCCAGAGAGGAATAAGACCAGGTGTTCCAGAAGCCTTTTCAGTTTCATCAACTACGCCCACGATGCGAATCTAAATGTTATTAAAGAAGTCGCGTCACAAAAAAAAAAAAAAAAAGGAAGTAAACAACCATAAGGCATTATTTTTTTAATTGTCGATATCGATGAATAAATAAGTGATTTGCATCTTTCAGTATAGTATAATCCAAACATGATTTAAATTACATAATACATCTGATTCGTTATTCTAGGACCCGTCAGTGATGTTTAGAGCCTAATTTGAAACCTCGGAGGCAAAAGGAAAATCAAAATGGATCAGAAGAAATGTCAAAATCTTGATAAGGAAGTGCCTTAATCCCACACTTCAATAAATTCAACATATATGACAATTTCAAAAGAATGCCAAGCAAATTCGTATGTTCTGTAGCTTGCCGTCCTTCAAATTTTCAGAAGGGGCTTGCAGGTTACGACAAACAGTGTCTAACACCTTGAATATCGATATTGTACAAAAAACACTCAAACGAATGACATCTTTCAATGCAAATTTAAAACTTTATCAAATTCATATCGATATCAATATTGTTAATCAGTTAAGTCGAATCATATTCGCTTCAAACTTTGATACATATTATATTCAGAATTCTTCATGTCTCTTGCCCCAACAATGTCCTTATCTTTCGGTAAAACATTTATGTCATTTTAAAAAAAGTTCGCGGTGAATTTATTTTTGTTCAATTCAAGAGCATTCTAAATGCACGGATTAACATGTCGAAGAAATCAGAATCAGATAAAAGTTGGTATAGATTATTAATACTAGCGGTTTCGAGAGCAAGAAACCAGAATTAATCAAGTACAATCGAAAATATATATTCCACGAAAATATAGTAAGAACCTTTCGGTAAAAAGTCATATTTGAACAAAAGTTTGAATAAACTATATTAAAAAATAAAGAGGTTTACTACAAAAGCAATGTATAGAAAGATGTATATGTAGAGAGGTTTTATCACATATACAGTGAAAATTTACAGACTAACGAACACTACAGAGGTGAAGTTCTTCACAAGCGAATGTTCACATTTTCGCCAAGTTACGCGACTAGTATAACTAATTCTGTCTCTTTGGCTCTCCTTCATTCGCTGTTTATCCTTTCTTTGTTCTACTATATGCTTATCCTTCAAACGGTATCTAATATCCACAGCGATCATCGCATTATATCCTCTACAGTTTCATTTTTCTTTTCTTTTTTATCCAAACGTCAACAGAGGACAAAGCTGGAAATCATATACATTACACAAAGAATCAAGATGACACCAAAATATGACGAAAGGCAACATAAACCAAGGTCAAAATCAGATTTGAATACCGCAGATTCACAAGTCCACAAACGCCAACGTGCATATTCGTTCAATTTGGTATCATTAAAAGATATGTTTACAAGGTCTTCAGAATACCTCGTCGCATGTAAACTTTCACCAAAAGATTTCTTATCTTCAGATTATCTGTCCTGATTAATAAAACTATAAGTTATACTTTGTTTCAATATAGGACGCTGCTTATACTACGTAAGTGCATATTTATTCACAAGCTTATTGTTACTGTGTTTTATCTTCAAATGTAATAAGAATGACTTTTTATTAAAGCACTATATATCATGTCATTCAAATCATTAATTTACATAAAATATTTAGATATACATAATTGCTTTCAAAGTTTGCATGAATGAAAATAACATCCATCAACAGGACTCGTCTAAAATGCTTAAAGCCTTAAGTACCGAAACCTCAAGAACCAACTGAAGAAAATCAAAATTGTTTGAAAGAAATATCAAATCCAGATGAAGATTTGCCTTAATTCAATAGGATATTTTCAATTATCATACATATATGCAAATCCTGAACTGTGCCAATATTTCAGTTTTCTTGAGATTAGCATTAAAAACAGTATGTTTACATGAACTAAATGTATAATTATTGTGACGCCATTGCCTAGCAAATTATTTACAATACGGTCCTTATAAGAATAAAAAAAATAGATTCAAAGACGTTAAAAGTATTAAATAAATTATCAGGTATGCATCTTTCCGATGCCAGAATGAGTATTAAGACTATTTGTTGGGTTACATTATCAACGAAATAAATTTTTCACGAAACAGTATTTTCGTGAAAAAGGGAAATTGCGCCCTACAAAAATATATAGTTTTACAGAGTATGGTTTTATGTTGAAGAAATTGGCACAATTCTTTTAAAACAGGTTAATTATATTCTAAGCAGGTATCGGTAATGAAACATTTCTTAAACCAGGCTACTGTTATCCTTAGAGGAGATGTATACAGTACAGCACCCCATGCAGAAATGGAAATATTCTGGAGGCATATGCAAAGAGTATATTTTTATCGAGTTTATAAGCAATTTCATTCATTCATTATTGCATTAATCTATTCTTCCCAATATTCTTTATTCTTCCTTGGCACAATACCCCTCAACCCCGTGTAGGTTTTTATATGATCCTTGCATATTGCAAGGACGTAAATTCCAGAGCACACGATTATTTATGGTACAATCTGTTAAACGACTGATTGGAAAGTCAAAAAGTGTGACGAACGATAGCTAGGTTATTGATGTAAGGATAAATATACGTTGCATTAATCAGAGCCACTGAAACCGGAGCTGGGCGGCGGATTATATATTATAATACAGCACGTAGCGAGCGATAGGCCGTACTGAGACAGGGCAAAACTTATTATCATGTGACATAAAACACCACAGGCATAAAATCGATAGAAATGAGTTGAG